AACCAGTGGCAAGAAGTGAGAGGGTAGACTCTGCCACTATGAATGCAACTATGAAAATAATTGCTGTTATTTAAATATTTTTTTAAAAAACTGGTTGATTCAGTGAGCTTCTAATTAGTACTTGCTACGCCCATGATTGAACGATTATCGCCTTGTACTAAGTGCTGGGCTGCTAACTGCAAGCTTGGCAGTTCAAACCCACCAGCCACTGTTTGGGAGAAAGATAAGGTTATTACCTTAAAGATTTGCAGCCTCGAAACTCTGTATAGGGTTGCTGTGAATCACAAATGGCTTTTGGTTTTGGTTTAGTATGCTATCTAAGGCTTTTATTTTGTGCCTACCCTGCAAGCATACCAATTGTTTATGAAAGCAGGGAATTTTGTTTAATCCACTGCCACTATCTTTGAAACCTAGAAATATGCCTGACACAATATGGACACTCAGTAAATATTTGCAGAATAAATATGTCATTGTGATTAGTTGAGTTGCACAGATATCATAGCTAAGCTTCCTTCCCCAAATTTGCTCTCCCTCTGAGAACCTGATGTCATTTTCTGTCACTGTCTAGAATACTGCCATGGATTGTGGCCTTAGAGTTTTTGTTTTGATGTTATTGTTATAAATAACCTCTGTGATCATTTGAGGAGTCAGGCAGAGAGCTAAGAAGAGGTGTTCTTGTACCAGATAGACTTCTTGTCATACTTGCTAGCTGTATGACCGTAGCAATTTAGTCTTGGGGGCTCCATTTTGTCAATAAGGATACTCATACGATCTTTATATGGTATATTTGAGGATGAACTAAGTTAAAGTGCCAGACACATAGAAGGACCACACAATAAGTGTTTATAATTTTCCTTATAGGTATCAAATGAGCAAGATTGCTCCCCTCTAAATACCATTGGGCAATGTGGGAAAATTAGTTCATCCTATAAGTTGAAGTCAGTGGAGGCCTCATTTTCTTCAAAGTAGTTTATTAAGCTTCTGTTTTTAAGAGTTTGGTGGGGTTTTTTAAATATTTTCAATTTCTCCATACATATCTTATGACAATAACAGCAATTATTTTCATAGTTACATTTATATGTTCTTTTGCTACTGTGCTATGTTTGCTCTCATTTATCAAAAACCTTCAATTATTACTTAAAGGGTAGTGTAGTGATTACACATTGGGCTGCTATCCACAAGGTCAGCAATTCGAACTTACCAGCTCCTCCTCTGGAGAAAAATAAGGCTTTCTGCTCCCTTAAAGATTTACTGCCTCAGAAACTCTATACAAGGTTGCTATGAGTCCGAACTGACTCAACGACACACCACCACCACCATCATGATTCAGAAACCTCTGCCTCAAATTTAACTCATCTCCAGTCCCAACCCAGACCTTTTCCTCCGGAAGTTTATCTAATTCCTCAAGTCAGGGAGTCATTCTTAAACCTTTTTCTTATCTGCCCTAACACATTCTTCACTCTATTGTTGTTGTTGTTGTTAGGTACCATCGAGTTGATAGCGACCCTATGCACAACATAACGAAACACTGCCTGATCCTGGACCAACCTCACAATTGTTGCCATGCTTGAGCCCATTGATACTGTCACGTTGCCAATCCATCTCACCGGAGGTCACTCTACTAGGTCCTGCTAATTCCATCTCCTTGATTTTCTTAACTCCTTCACTGTTGTCTATCCCAGTTGTCACCACGCTAGTGAAGGGTTCTCCTTCAGGCACAGTTCTCTCCATGTCCTGCTTTACATAGCAGACAAGTGATCTTTTTATTATTATGTTCTCCTGATTAAAGCCTGTGTTAATAAATAAAGGCAAACTCTGAAAACAGAGGATTTTTATTCAGAACTTAGTACATTACTACAAAGCAAGGAAGTCAGTCACTATTATTTGCTTTGGGCTAAGACTTAAAGGCAGGCAGGGGAGTGGGAAAACAATACTAAAAAGAGAAGGCTTTTGGTATGCTGTGTTTGGAGGGAAGCTGGTAAGACATCTTATGTGATTTGTTGGGGAGCATATTTGACTTGCTCTGATTGGTCCTGAGTTGGGAGCTGGGGCAAAAAAGATGGGAAGTTAGCAGTCATTGACCAATTGCTGTAAGGTTATAGTTTGACCTCCCAGGCTAATTGCTACAGAATGTATGGGTCAAAGTTCTGTTATGATATATGGTCTGGCCATTGTCTAAATTTAATCTCTTGACTACTCAATGGCTCCTTACGATCTACAGCATAACATACAAGATTTCCTATAAAGTAGAGCCCATAGAAGTGCTTATATTATATCTAGGGTTCAATTAGTAAATTCATGTAAAATGTTTACAACTGTACCTAGAACTAAGCCTTAACCAGTAACTCTTACCTGTCATCATCATAGTCATATCATTATTATTACTGTTCATGATTTCATCATCTATAGCCACATCCTCTCCAGTGTAGTGAATGACTCACCTATCCCCACCCTATCTTCCAGCCTGTCACATAAGATATCCCACCAGCTTCCCCAGGTCAACAACCTCCAAGCATAGCATACCAAAAGCCTTACCTTTTTACTTCAATATGTTGAATGCCGACCCTAGAGAGGTCAACTTGACCGCACACATCACCAATACCACCTATCCTGTAACTGCCATGTTTTCTCTTTCTGGTCTTCACACATGCTACTCCCTCCTCCTCTGTCTCTCAAACCTTGAATGCATCTCACGAAATCCTACTCAATCTCAGCTCATCAGTAGATCCTGTCGCCCAGTAGCCATCCCAGACTCACCTCGTTGCCTCCCTGTGCCATTTTGTGCCTTTTCTATGTACTTCCAGAGCACATTTTATCTTTTCTGTAGCACTTTGTAGCAGGCTATTTTTACTACTGGAATTCATGCCAAACAAAGCTATCTGAGTTCAGGACAATATGTTATCCATGAAGTTCCCCATACCTAGCACAGTTCCTGGAACAAAAAAAAACAAAAAAACCTGCTAATAGATTTTTGTAAAAATAGAAAAGACAAAGAAAGGAGGGAGGGAAGAAGGAAGAGGCTGAGGGAGGGAGGAAGAAATCTTAAAAATATGTGCCAGGCATTTAAAGGATGAGTAACATGAAGTGTGCAAGATAAACCTAAGAAAAGAGTATATGCTTCAATCTTCACTACTCTTTCTTTCTTATAAAATTAATGCCTTTTTCAAGTCCTGGTGTGGTACTTCAAGATAACCACTGGACTGCTAACCCCAAGATTGCTGGTTCTAATTCACTAGCTGCTCCTCAGAAAACTTGTCCAGGGTGGCTGTGAGTGGGAACCAACTCAATGGCACTTAACAACAACACAGGGATAAGTACTGGACTACTCATTGCAAGAATAGCGGTTCAAACCCACCAACTGCTGCCCAGGAGAAAGATGACCCTGTCTGCTTCCTTAAAGATTTACAGTATTGGAAACCCTGTGTAGAGTCGCTATGAGTTGGAATTAACTCAGTGGCTGTAGGTTTGGTTTTTTTATTTTATTTAGGAAAACAAAAGGGCAAAACATTATGATAATACATATAGGTATTAAAAAAGAAAATTTAAGAAAATTTCACACTGGCTTCATGGACTGTGCAACAGCATTTGGCTGTGTTGACCAAACTATGGCTAATGTTCCAAAGAATGAGAATACCAGAACACTCAATTGTGCTCAGGCAGAACCTGTGCATAGTCCAAAAGAAGAGAAAAAGGAGATACTGAGTGGTTTGAAATCAGGAAAGGTGTGTATCACAATTATATATGTTCATCAGGTTTGTTCACTCTGTACGCTGAGAAAATAGAAAAGAGTATCATCAGGCTTAGAAAAAGACTCACTATCAGCCTGCAGTATGCAGATGGCACAGCCACACTGCTGAAAGTGAAGAGGACTTGTAGCACTGATGAAGAGCAAAGACTACAACTTTGTTGTAGTATGGATTATACCTTAACATAAAATGAAAATCCTCACAACTGGACCAATAATCAACATCAGGGTAAACAGCGAAAGGATTGAAGTTGTCAGGGAGTACATTTTACTTGAATCAACAGTCAATGCCCACAGAAGCAGCAGTCAAGAAAACAGATGGCATATTGCATTGGGAAAATCTGCTACAAAAGTAGATCTCTTTAAAGTGTTAAAGAGCAAAGAGGTTAACTTTGAGGAATAAGGTGCCCCTGACCCAAGCCATTGTATTTTAATTGTGTCATCTGCATGTTAAAGCTGGGTAATGATAAGGAAGACCAGGTGCTTAGAGTTGCTACTTGATGGCACCTAACAACATCAAACATCCCTTGAGAAATGACACCAGTGATGGGTCTTGAAGGACCTATAGGAGTTAACCAAGGGAGGAATCATATAGTAACAATGTAAGTGAAAACACAATGCAAAGGGAAGTCTTTGAATGCTTTGTGTGAATTATATTCAAACCGGATCTTTAGATTCTGACTATAGAGTACAGGAAAGGGTTGACGAGGACAAGAGTGGAAGCAGGAAGAACAACAGCTGACCATCACAATGTAATAAGAAATGAAAACTCAGTAAGGCAGTAAGGTACTCAAGAACTAGTTAAGATGTAAAAGCTGTAGAACACGGAGATTGCTGTTTAATTTAGATGGTGAAGAATATAGCTATCCACTGAGCAAGGGGATTCCTAGGTCAGGAAGACATCGCCTACCTGTAGTTTAAAAGATACACTATTGTACATCCACATAGGCAAACTTGATATAGTGTGTGCATGTAGGATGTAATTTTGTTTCGAAAACATGAAAGTACTATTATTCCAGATGTTCTCTTGTGCCTTTCAGGGCTAATGCAATTCAAAGACATTAAGATTTTTATGTAATACTAGAATTCAGAAAGTTGGTTTTTTAAACTCCAAAATATGTTTACTCCTATAGAGTCTAATCTGCTTTGCATTCTCTCCGTATTATCTTTTGTTATATTTTTAAATTGGCAAGGGAAAATATATGAATAAGTGCCTACTACATAGAAAACTAAAAGATATATTTTTTAGGGTGTTTTAAAGCTTATGGACCTCAATCGTATCATCAAACTCCTTCAAGAGACTGATGAGGTGAGTAAGGTTTGAGAGAAAATTATTTTGTTAATCATTTATAATGTTTTTTAACCTTTCTGTATTCCCCTAAATGTCTCCTTTCTTTCCTCTGTTTAAAATATTTCAAATAGTATATAGCTTATATTCAAATGTAGCTAGCGTGTTTAAGTTTAATATGAATATATTTGACCAAGTACAGAAGGATGAAGGAGGAGACTAGAAATGTTTTTGTAACTAAGCAAACCCAGGGTGGACATAAGCAGAAGGAGCCATCAGAATATAGACAGTATCATCCAAGCTCTTTAATTAGTTGCTTGTTACCTGTGGGGATGGGGGAGTAGAAAAAGGACATCCTGATGTACACCTAAAATTTCTTGTTAGAAAACCCGGGGATACACACACACACACACACACACACACACAGACATATATATTTCAGTTACAAGAGACTCAAAGTGAGAGTTTAGACATTGGGGGAAAGGATCATGAATATGTATGCACAAATGCTCACATATCAACTCCCCTGATAGTATTCCAGAATGGACTAGGTCTCTGAAAAACAGCCTGTACTATAAAAGATTCCATATTTTTAATACATGAAAAATGATTGAGCATGGTATAGCCTTTCAAAATAAACAATTGTGTGAATAGTAGGCAAAAGTTGTAATTATTGTTTTAATAATTTTAGTATATTTTTGTACATGAATAAAAAATAATGACTTTCCTTATAAATCATTTATCATTTCCCAAATAGTGAAAAGATAACATTTAATTGTGATCATAATTGCATTTTTAAAAAAGAAAATTACATTTCATAGAGCTCCTACTAACTATTAAACAAGGAAATGTATATGTGCGTTTCTGTGTTGTACAAGAGGGCTTCCAAAAAGTTCGTGGAAACATTCTATTATTTTTTCATTCAATTTTCCACAACCTTTTTGAAGCCCCCTTACACACATGCAAACACACACACATATCCACTCAGGCAGCCCCCAGATTATGATTAAGATCTGTTCCAGTCTCTTTAAGTTGAATTCGTAGATCAGTCAGAACAGGTGCATGCATTCTTATTTAGCCTTCCTTTAGTACAAGAAAAGGCTTGAAAGTGATTGAAGACGTTTCAGTGATTTAAAAACTGTAAGGTGAAAGCGGTAGGTGAAGGTGATTATGGTAAGAATTTGTTGCCAGGAGGGGTTGGTTCTTGGCACTTTGGGTTGATGTGCTAGACTGCAAGGTCGGTTTGAACAGTATGGTTAGCTGTTCAAGCTCACCAGCCACTCCTCGGAAATCCTATACAGGATCGCTATGGGTTGGAACATACTCAACAGCACTTAACAACAACAACAACAACAGAGGTTGGTTCAAGGAACCTTGGTAGCATAGTGAGGTACAAGTTAGGTTGCTAACCACAGGGTCAGCAGTTTGAATCTAGCAACTGCTCCAGGGAGAAAAAGATGAGGCTTTGTGCTCTCTAAAAGATTTAAAAGCCCAGGGTCGCTTTGAGTTGAAACAACTCAACAGCACACAAGCACTACCACCAACAGGAGTGGTTCAGGGACCTGGTGGAAAAGTGGTTAAAGCACTCAGCTGTGAATCAAAAGGCTAGTGATTCAAATCCACCAGCCTCTTCTTGGGAGGAAGATGGGGCAGTCTACTTCTGTAAAGATTTGCTTTGGTAAACCCTATGGGACAGTTCTACTGTCTTGTTAAGTGCTCTTGATTTGGTTTCAACTCATAGCGACCCTGTGTAGGGTTTCCATAGAGCAGCTGGTGGATTTGACTAAGCAACTTTGCAATTAGTAGCTCATTGCTTATTTTACAGCACCACACCGGGATTCTGTCTGAATCTAATTGATGGCAATGGGTTGAGTTTGGTCTTTTTGGAGGAGTTGGTTCAATCCTTTCAAAGTGAGGGCAAATGTACATAACATTAAAGAGCAAGTCACTGTCATACAGAACTGCCTATATGTATGTAGCTAAGGGGCTTCAAAAAGTTTAGGGGGAAATAGAGTTAAAAAATAATGGAATTTTTCCATGAACTTTTTGAAGGCCCTGCGTTTATATATCTCCACAGGTTTCCACAAATAATTTCAGGAGGTTAAAAGAATAAGTGATTTGGTCATAAAAATACATCACTGGATGAGGTCTTAAAAAAAAAAAAAAAATCAACTGTCTGAGATGTCTGACTTGAGCCAGTGGACTGGGTTAAAAATACAAATTCTAGAGTCAGATTGCAAAAGTTTAGTCCTAACACCATCATTTACTTAGTAGCTAAGTGACTGTAGACATATTGCTTAAGGTGTTTCAACTTGAGTTTCCTGTTCTGAAAAAAGAGGTATAAGCACCGGACCACAAAGTCGGTTTCAACCATAAAATCAGTGGTTCAAACTTACCAATCACTCTTAGGAAACCCTAGATAGGGTCTCGATGAGTCGGAACCGACTCAATGATACGTAACAACAACAACATCAATAATATTGTAGATTCCTGATGTGGTATTGGAGGATAAGTACTAGACTGCTAACCACAGGATCACCAGTTCAAACCCACCAGCCACTCCTTAGAAACCCTCTATGGGGTTGCTATGAGTCAGAACTGATTTGATGGTACCTAACAACAACAATAGTATAATGGATTCCCAGTATGGCACTGTAGGCACAATACCACACAACCAACACAACAATAGTGTTATAAAGGACCCCTGGTGGTGCTGTAGGATAGGTATTATGTTACTAACCTCAAGATCAGCAGTTCAAACCCATCAGTGGCTCCTTGGGAGAAAAATGAGACTATATGCTTAGTCTCCGAAACCCTATATTGGGTCACTGTAAGTTGGAATGGACTCAATGGCAGTGAATTTAAAAATATATATATTATAAGGAGCCCTGTTGGCACAGTGGTTAAGTACTCAGTTACTAACAGAAAAGCCAGTGGTTCAAACCCACCAGCGCTCCACAGGAGAAAGATGTGGAAGTATGCTCCCCTAAAGATTTACAGCCTTAGAAATCCTATCAGCAATTCTTCTTTAGGGTTACTATGAGCTGGAACCATCTAGATGGCAGTGGAGTTTTTGATTAATCATGTCGTTTTGAAGATCAATGAAATGTATCTTCATTATGTATATATGAAACTGTGCCAAGTTAGTATATAATACATGCTTAGTATATTTTGATGGTGGTAGTGGTGGTTATGTGCCGTGGAGTCGGAACCGACTCATAGTGACCCTGTACAGGGTTTCCGAGGCTGTCGATCTTTACGGGAGCAGAAAGCCTCATCTTTCTTCTGCGGAACAGCTGGTAGTTTTGAACTACTGACCTCAAGGTTCGCAGCCCGATTCGTAACCACTATGCTACCAGAGCTCCTTTTTTAGCTATTATTAATGTTACTTCTGGAAACAGTTATAGCTTTTATATTAACCTAGTTTTGATTAATAATCTAATGAAATTAAAATGGTAATTTATTTTTATCTTCACTTTTTCAGGAAACATTTAATAATGTTTGTAACAGTGATTTAAGAATTACTTGATAAATTTAAATATCTACTCATTTCTTATATTAAAGAATTTTTTTTCAATCTCAGCAAATTTAATAGTGCAAAAGAACTAACCTAGATCATTTGTTTTAGGTTGATTTAGAAGAAAAACAACTTAAATCTGTCAAGAAACTGGTCCAGTGTTACCAGAATGGACTTGTATCCTTTACACACATATATATGTAGTATGTTCATTTCATTCATCCTGGGATAATTTTTATTATAAAATACATTAGTTTTGTTTTGCTGCTGTAATAAATTATCATAGACTTATTGACATAAGACAGCACCAATTTATTATCTTACATTTCTGGAGGGCAGAAGTGTGAAGTCCACCTCGTAGGACTAAAGTCAAGATGTTGGCAGGGATCCAGAGGAGTAAGCATTGCCTTGCCTTGACAGCTTCTAGATGTTGCCTGAACTCCTTAGCTTGTGACCCCTCCTTCATAGTGGCTGTCCCCTCACCTTGGCCTCCATCGTTAGTCCGGCCCTCTCTTTCTCTGTAAGGACCCTGTTGTTACATTGGGCTCTCCTAGGTAATCCAGGATCATTTTCCCATCTCAAGATCCTCAAATGAATCACATTTTCAGAAGATGTGAACATTTTTATAGGGTAAGAGTGAGCATTGTTCTGTCTTCCATAGGAAATATTTAACATTCCAGTTATTTCATGAAATTATGTTTTTTATCAGAGAATATGAAACTGACAAAATTGTTGTTGTTGTTATGTGCCGTGGAGTCGGTTCCAACTCACAGTGACCCTGTATAGGGTTTCCAAGGCTGTAAATCTTTATGGGAGCAGAAAGCCTCATCTTTCACCCGCGGAACAGCTGGTAGTTTTGAACTGCTGACCTTGAGGTTCACAGCCCAATTCGTAACCACTACACTACCAGAGCTCCTTAAAATAGCACAGCACAATTAACTTGCCTAGCTAATGTCAGGTTTTGTAGATTCAGAGAAATTCAGGTTTAGTTAAAAGGCCCAAGTTAAAGGTCATATTCCTTTGACATTTGTTTGACAGCAATACCTTTGATAAACTTCCTAATGTCTGCACGCTTATAAAATACATAAGCTAGCACCTCATGGAGTACTGCTGTGGTGCTGTAGGATAAGCACTGGACAGCAGTTCAAACCCACCAGCTGCTCCTCAGAAACCCTATACAGGGTGCTATGGGTCGGAACCAACTCAACAGCACTTAACAACATCAATAGTGGGAGTCCTCATGTGGTGCTGTGGGTTGATGTGCTGGACTGCAAAGTCAGCAGTTCAAGCTCATCAGTCACTCCTCAGATACCCTATACTGGGTTGCTATGGATCAGAATTGACCCAATGGCGGCACTTAACAACAACAAGGTAGTTAAGAAAAGTAGATGAGATACATGCAAGTGCTTGATAATCTATAAAACATTATATAAACATAAGCTCTCACTTCTTCTGAATATATGAATACATAAGGATCCCTGATATCATAGTGATTACATATTGGGCTGCCAATCACAAGGTCAGCAGTTCAAATCCACCAACTGCTCCATGGGAAAAATATGAGATTTTCTGCTTGGTAAAGATTTACTGGCACCCAAGAAAGTCTAGTAGCAACTGATGTATTTTTGTATTAACTTGATCCCTTCAAAACTCTTTCATCTTCCTCAGATTTAGAGGTTTAGTGGCAAATGACTATTTCTAAGTGTCTTTAATCGGCTGGCTTTAGAGAATGTAAAACTTAAAGCAGAGATGAATTAGAGAAGTCTCTTGGTCATTTCTCTAGGTAGTTAACAGAGCTTTGTACTTCTGGATATACCAGTTCTTCCATCTCTCCCTAAGAAGCTCCGAGAATGAGTTCTTAGCTGTAAAGCAAAATGTATGAAATGTGTTTATGTACTGACGTTAAAATAGGTTAAACAAAGGCTCACTCTAGAAAGGGTACATTGTGCTTTCATAGTAGTTTTAATTGGAACAAATTCCCAGCCTATTTCAATCTTAAATACAAGAAAACACACCTGAGTTCAAAGTTAAAAAAGTAAGGTAATAAAGTACAGTAAGGTTTGTTCCCAGGCAATGTATGTTTATGTATATAGAGGGAAATGAAGAGTAAAAATGAGCAAGAAGCTATTTTTTCCCCAGTGTTTTAATACTCACTGCTAATAATAAGTTATTGATCAACAGAATCCATAGTGTAGTAATTGGTTCTCTGTCTCCTTTGTTGTGGTGAGAAAGGAATAACATTATTTTGAATATGAAGATATTGAGACAAATATTGAATAAGAAGAAGATACTGAAACATATTGAATATCCCTGTTCCTACAAAAATATGGCTCTAATTTTTCTGCTTTATTCTTCAGAATATGTATAATTAAAACAGTGTCAACCACTTAAATTTAGCGATATAAGTAGAATTCTACAGATTGTGTTGACAGAAGCACTATAAAGAATATGTTGAATCAAGAAATTAACCTTAATTTTATTTCTTAACTAAAATACTAAAGCCTCTCAGGGATTTAGCACAAATATTTAAAATTCTGAATCTGTGTACAGGAAAAATTGAAAACCAGCCTCATTTTGTCGAATGTGCCTGTGATATCCTGAAATTGTGTGGGTAAGTCAAACTATTTTGTGTTATTAACTTCTGTTGTTGTTAAGTGCCATCGAGTCGGGTCCGACCCATAGCGACCCTGTACAGGGTTTCCGAGGGTGTAAATCTTTACGGGAGTAGAAAGCCTCATCTTTCTCCCGCGGAGCGGCTGGTAGTTTTGAAACCGCTGACCTTAAGATTCGCAGCCCGATTCGTAACCACTACGCTACCAGAGCTCCAGTATTAACTTATAGTATTTTATAATTTTTTTGTGTCATAAACATAACACATTATAGTGCTTAGTCAAAGAAAGTAGCAGATTGCTAAGGCACTTAAAAAGCATTAGTTGATCCCTTGATTCCAGCAGCTGGTATTCTCAAAGGTAGTCCGTTTCATTGTACTCTGAGATTCCCAGCCCTAAGGGATTAAACTATAAGGATATTGAAGTGTGTTTTCTTATAATCAATTGCTCTCAAGAGAAAGACAAACTTTGGGTGAACTCAAGGAATAGTAATGTTCTTAGAGAATCCTTGGATAATGTAATAGAAGTTTTGATAGAAAAATTTCAGTCTTCATTTTTATTCTCTCTGTAGAAAATTGAATTTTCAAAGATATATACTAGGTTTTGTGTCATGTTTTATTTGATTTTCCAAGTATCAACAAAGAACCAATTGTCACCAATAATTTGAAATTTATTTTGAAAAAGGCAAAGGTAAGGATTATAAAATTTAACATACCAGTCCCTTCCTCTGTTTCTCCAACTAATTCTGGAAATTGGAAATCTACTATTCGTCCTTGCAGTCACCTAAAGGCTATTAGAGGGTTATGCTAACATATCCATGTTTGTTGTTAAGTACCATCCAGTAGGTTCCAATAGGGTTTCCAAGGAGCTGCTGGTGAGTTTGAACCACCAACCTTGTGGTCTAGTGCTTATTCATGTTTAAATAAACCCATTTTACTTTTTAATAGAAACACAAGGTTTAGATTGGTTATTTTGGTAGTCTCCAATTTCCCCACGTTTAAAGAATAGGATTTAATCCTAATTTATTCTTTAGAAAGGAAATATTTCCCTGTTTTGAAAAGGAGGTCTCCATCAAGGAATTCATTTAAAATTACTCTTAAATTCCTCATTCTTATTGAAGCTTGCCATTTTTGAAAAAGAAAGTATCGGATGAGATAACATATGCCGAAGACACTGCTAATTCAATCGCACTTCTGGGTAAGTTAAGATTTCTTTAAGACAGAGGTGTGCAACATATAACAGGCTGGGTTGACAAGAAGAAAATGTCTAGTTTCACTTAGTCTGTAATTTAGTGAAAGGAAGAAGCATCTGCTTTCCCAGAACGTTTGTTGTTAGATGCCTTTGAGTAGGTTTCCTACTCAGAGTGACCCTGTCTAAGGTTTCCGAGGCTGTAAATCTTTACAAAGGAGCTCTGGTAGTGAGTTTAGTGGTTACAAATCAGGCTGCTAACTTCAAGGTCAGCAGTTCGAAACTACCAGATGTTCTGTGGGAGAAATATGAGGCTTTCTGCTCCTGTAAAGATTTACAGCCTCAGAAACCCTGTACAGGGTCACTGTGAGTCAGAACCGACTCCACGGTACTGAACAACAACAACAAATGTTTACAGGAACAGAGAGCTTCATCTTCTTCCCAAGGAGAGGCTGGTGGATTTGAACTGCTGATCTTGTGGTAAGCAGTCCCAACACTTACCCTACATGCCACCAGTGCTCCTTCCAAAAACATAGAGCGACGATTTTTACGGAGTTTCACTCAGAATACTTTTTCTTCACATGTAGGGTTTGCTCTTGTTTTATAGTTACCAGTTAAACACAGTGCACGTTGTGATAATTATTGTATTGTTTCCCACCTACATAGTTCATGATACCAACAAAATCCTGTTTCTTAACTTTAAGGACTAGCAGATACTTCTTCATACATTTGATTTGATGTCATTTAGTTTAATGAAATATTTGTTTTTACCTATTTTTGCAAGTCAGAAATTTCAGTAATGATAAAGATATATTAATATTACACTCTTACATTTAATTACTATAGCCACTGTTGTTATTGTTGTTAAGTGCCATCGAGTTGACTCTGCCCCATAGCGACCTTGTATAAGTTTTCCAAGAAACAGCTGGTGAGTTTGAACACCGACCTTGCAGTTCAAACCACTTTGCAGTCTGACGCATTAGCTCACACCACCACACCAGGACTCCATAGTCACTGAGAATCTGCTTATTCATGAAACAATCAAATATTTTAAATAATATCATAAATACTGAAAAATTAAGAACTTTAGCACAATATGCATGAAAATGTAGGTTCCTATATTTTGTATGCAAAAATATGAACCAAGGACTGCCTATGTAACTAACACATCTAGAACTTACTAGGTACCTAACACTGATCTCAGTCCTTTTCTCATATTAACTCAAATTAATCCTCACAACACTCCTAAAGGTAGTAACTACTATTATGCCAATTTTATTAATAAGGAAATTGAAGCACAAGTTTTTGTGGGGAGTGACGGCAGACCCAGGATTTAATCTTAGCCAGTCTGGTTTGTATTCTTAATCATCATTCCACTTTTTCTAGAAAGGACTGCCTTAATTGATGAAAGAGCTAAATGTAACATGATACATTGGCATGTTGGTGTGTACATACATACACAAGGGGACTGAAGGAAGTTTGTGGTAAAATAGTATTAAAAGGTAATGGAATGTTACCTTTTAATAACATTGTGGTAAAATGGTATTAAAAGGTAATATATGTGATCACTTATTCAGCTTGAATCTCTAATGAAGATACATTAAATCATGATTATATTATTGATATTTTATATTTAAATTTGCAAATAAACTTGTGAAAGTTATTAAATAGTATTCATTTCTGTTTTTGACAGGTGACTTAATGAAAATACAAAATTCTGACTTAAGGATACAAATCTGTAAGTGTATTGTTGATTTTTATCACGCGGAACCACCAAAGAAACATATTACAGGTGAAATTTTCAGTGGTCTTTCAATAGTAATTTGTGTCTTCAGAAAACAGAATATTCTATCCTGTTTATCTTTTAGCCTGCAAAGACAAGGTTGTTGTTGTTGGTGGTGGTGTTAAGTGCCGTCTAGTCAGTTCCGACCCATAGCGACCCTGTACAGGATTTCTGAGGGTGTAAATCTTTATGGGAGTAGAAAGCCTCATCTTTAGAACTTTTTTATGTGGTTTTGAGCTCTTTGATCATTCTATCTTATTTATTTAGTGGGGAGGTAGTAGGACTGAAGAGTTAGAGTTAAGGTTAGGAATATGACTAGGTCTATTAAGTTGTTAAGTGCCATTGAGTCAATTCCAACTCAGGTGATCCTGCATAGGGTTTCCAAGGAGCAGCTGGTGAGTTTGAACTGCTGCTCTTGTGATTCAAAGACCTTGTCAAGTGCTTATCCTACATTGTCACACCAGGACTCCAATAGGTCTAGGGCATCCTATTGTTGTTAAGTGTCATCTACTCAGCTTCTACTCATAGTGACCCAGTATACTGTTTCCAAGGAGCAGCCGGTGGGCTTGAACTGCCAACCTTGTGGTTAGCAGTCCAGTGCTTATCCTACAGTACCACACCAGGACTCATTTAGTGTTAGGGTTAGGGGTATGGGTTGGACTAAGGCTAAGAGTTAGACTTAGTCTAGTTTTAGAGTTACAGTCAGGTTTCTTTTTATTTATTTTTCTTGAAATCTACTTGATGTCCTCTCCATTGGGAAGTTCTGTAACTACATTATTCCTTCTTTTTACTTTGTGATTTTTGTTGTAGTTATTCTTGCAAACTGATATCTCTGGCTCTCTATTTATCAGTCTGTAGGTTTGTTTTACTTTGGCTGTAGTTCTGTATCTAGGTTGAGTTCTAAATGATATTGTCATGTATGTTAATCTCGGTTTGTTGAATGCTGTTGTTTCTCTGTCCAAACAACTCACTTTGGTGTGTTTGATAAGATTGGTCTAGTTTTTATGAAATCCTTCAGTTTCTGTTGATCTGGAAATATCCTCTGCCATTATATTTGATGAATAATTTTGCTGAGTATATGATTCTTTGTTGGCAGGTTTTTGTTTGTTTTTTTTCTTTTAGAATTTTATATGTGTTATTCTATTGTCTTCTTGCCTGCTTGATTCCTGCCAAGAACTCAGAGCTTAGTCATATTGCTGCTTTTTGGTAGGTAATTTTTTATTTTTCCCAAGCTACTCTCAGGATTCGTTCCTCATCTTTGGTTTTGAAAACATTCATTATAATATGTCTTGGTATTTTCTTTTGGGGTCTATCCTGTTTGGTTTTTTGTTTGGTTTTTTTTTTTTCAACTTTTTGAATGCTTATTGTCTTTCATCATATTAAGAAAGTTTTCTTTCAACAACTCTTGAACAATTTTTCTATGTTTTTGTTTTTTCTCTTACTATTCTGGAATTCCAATCACATATACATTCTTCCTCTTGATAGTGTCCCACATAAATCTTGGGCTTTCTTTATAATTTTTTATTCTTTTTTTCTGGTTATTTCTCTAACAGATGAATATTGAAATATTTGTCTTCAAACTCACTAATTCAGCCTTCCATTGACTCAATTCTGCTTTGCCCTATTTTTGAAGTCTTGGTATTCATCTTCTGGCTTTGCTGTTTTTGTATAGTTGCGTGTTTTTAATTATTTTGTCAGTCTGTTGTATTTTTCTGAATTCTTAGGTTTTATCTGTGTTTTTTGAATTTCATCTGTAGTTTTCTCCATCATTTTCTCAACATTGAAGGTTACCTAAATACCATTCTTTTGAATTCCTTAGTAGGTAGTTCTAATACCATTTCTGGTATTATATTTTCTAATGCTGTATTTTGGTCACTTGTTTGAGTCATTCTGTCATGTTTCTTCTTGTGAGCTGAAATTGTTGTCTTTGAGATATGGCGGTGTTGTTGTATTTGTGTTTAACTGATGACTGTATGTTGGTGTGCTCTCAGACACTTACCACCTGTCACCAGGTGGATGTTATATGGACTGGAAGTGTATATGCATTTCTCTGTTCACTGCTTGTATAGCATAGTTCGGGGGAATTTGTCTGATGTTGGCTGCTAATTATCATTGCTCAGTGGTGCTTACACAGTGAGTGGAGTCACAGAAGTACAGATGTAGCTAGGCTAATGGGCACAATTGCTGTCTGCCAAAAAACGACAGCAATACAAGATCTAATGAGTCTAAACTCACAAGCCTACAAATGCAGGATGGTATGCCTGTAGCCCGACCGTTGGTAGAGCAGAGGCTGTCAGAAGAGGGTGCCGCTGACTGCTGAAGATAAAGACAGGATCTAGCCACATCTCGAGGCCAGGAAGGAGTGGGAAACAAGGGACAATTGTATTCCCTCATCACCAATGCCCAGCAAGTGTCCTGTGCCTCCAGACTGTTGTGTCAATTGACAGCAGCCCACAAAACACAAGAGGGCTGCATAGCACCAGGCCAGCCAACAGCCTGCACATCTGGCTCTTCACTTGCCACTCCTGCTCAGTTTCATCGCCCAGCTGCCACTCAGTCCACCTCTCTGTCCTAGTCTCTAAAGCTCCGGTGGGTAGGATACAGTGGAACTCTATCATATAGGGTCAGTTAAATGGACTCTGTGGCAGTGAGTTTTTTTTTGTTTCAAGTACCACTAATTTCACCAGTATTTACCAGGACTGCATTTCAATTCTCACCCGTACTGCATTGCTAACACCACATAATTGTCCTTAAAACCAGTGAAGTAATGTCTTAATAGGGAAAACATTCAATATTTCTAATCATGCTATTTTCCTTTATGGAAGGATATATCTACTGACAAATAAAACATGATTTTTGTTTTTAAGAATTGTAGATGTGCCTCCAAAATTTATGATGCTGTTTCAGATTCTACACCAGGGGGTCAGTAAATTGTGGCCCACAGACCAGAATTGGTCTACTGTAAATGAAGTTTTATTGAAACACTTGGGAGCATGATAGCTCCATATGATAAACAGTGGCCTATGAACCACAAGGTCCACAGTTTAAACCCACCAGCCGTTCCGAAGGGGAAAGATGAGGTTTCCTGCTCCCTCAAAGATATAAAAGCCTTAGAAACCCTATACAAGTTCGCTATGAGTAGGAATCTACTCAACAACACTTAATAGTAGCAGCAATGGCTACTTTAAGACAGAAACCAAATGGCCTACAGAAACAAATATTTGCTCCCTTACCATCTATCTGGTCCTTTATAGAAAAAGTTTGCCTATCTTGTGCAATGCCATTTTTTAATACTTCGTACTTTGCTAAATTTTTGATGTTGTGATAAATTACTAATTTATTTATCTTAATGTAGATCATTATGTGAAATAGCAGTACGTATTTCTTAATTGTTGGTAGGTTACCAGCAAGCTAGTTCATCATACAAGATTCAAATGGCTGAAGTTGGAGGCTTGGCAAAAACAATGGTCCAGTCATTGGCCTTTCTTGAAAATCAACTTGTTGAGAAACTCTGGGTACTTAAGGTTCTACAACATCTCTCAACTTCTGGTGTGTACACTCATTAAATTTGAACACTTCTCTATCGTTTATTTCCATCTAACCATAGAAAGACTATACAAAATAAATAAACTTAAATTTTCTTTTTAGAAGCTAATTGCACTTTTATGATGAAAGCACAAGCAGCTAGTGGAATCTGTATTCACCTTAATGACCCTGATCCCTCTGGACAACTTCTGTTTCGTTCATCAGAAATACTTTGGAACTTGTTGGAAAAATCCTCCAAAGAAGAAATTATCCAACAGCTTAGCAATTTGGAATGTTTGCTGTAAGTATATGTGGTTTAATAATTTTTTTTTAGATGATAGCCAGTCACATAGCTAACATCGATGTTTCAGGACATCTGTTTTGTACAATGGTAAACATGAATCTATCTGTACAGTAACAAGTCATGCCTTTCTACATTGTTGTTGTTGTTGTTAAGTGCTGTCAAATTGGTCCCAATTTATAGCAACCCTGTATAGGGTTTCTAAGGAGCGGCTGGTGAGTTTGAACTGCCGACCTGCATTACAGCTCTTGAAGTAGCTTGTTAATAAGACCAAATTAAGCCTTTAAATATGTATAGCTAAAGTTAAACATTTAGAACAACTATTACAGTCATTCATTCAATAAGTTGATGATTGATTACTGTCATCCCGCTACTTCAGTAAGCACTTGCATAAAATGGGAGTAACCCTTCAAGTTTCTTATTTATTTATTTAACAAATAATCATTGTCTGCTTCCTGTCAGGTTTAGTATTTGGTGGTTGTTGGTGGTGCCATTGCGTTCATTCCAATTCATAGTGACCCTCTGCACAATAGAACAATGTACTGCCTGATCCTGTGCCATCCACATAATTGTTAGGCTGGAGCCCATTGTTGCTGCCTCTCTGTCAGTCCATCTTTTGGGGGGGTCTTCTTCTTTCTAGTTGACCTTCCACTTTACCAAGCATGGTGTCCCTCTCCAGGGACTGCTCCCTCCTGATAACGTCCAAAGAACGAGAGACGAAATCTTGCCATCCTCTCTTCTAAGGAGCATTCTGGCAGTACTTCTTCCAACACAGATTTATTTGTTCTTCTGGCAGTCACTAGTACTTTCAATATCCTTCACTAACACAGTCATTCAAATGCATCGAGTCTTCTACAGTCTTCCTTATTCAGTGTCCAACTTTGACATCCATATATAGCTTGTGAAATAAATACTCAGTTAGTTGGTTGGTTCATTGATTATGTGCCTTGGAGTTGGTTCCAACTTATAGCGACCCTGTATATGGTTTCTGAGGCTGTAAATTTTTATGGGAACAGAATGCCTCATCTTTCTTCTGCAGAACACCTGGTAGTTTCAAACTACTGACCTTGAGGTTAGCAGCCCAACTTGTAACCACTATGCTACTTGTTGTTGTTGTTAAGTGCTGTCAAGTTGATTCTGACCCATAGCGACCCTGTACAGGGTTTCCAAGGCTGTAAATCTTTACAGGAGCAATTCTTTACAGGAGCATCTTTCTCTCACATAACAGCTGGTAGTTTCGAACAGCTGAACTTACAGTTCGCAGCCCGATTTGTAACCACTACGCTAGAGCTGCTTAAATACTTGGTAGTAAAAATAAAATTGAAAACAATACAGACGTGGTTTCTATTTTCATGGCATTGGCAATGTGACTGGTGACATGGACAAGCCAGTAAGCAACTGAAAGAGACTGTACTGAATGCTCTGAAAGGACCTGTGTATTCTTCATAAGTGGGTGAATTAGCAGTTTTTGGTTACAAATGACAGAAAACTGACTTAACTAATATAGGCAATTTATAGACTCATACATACAGCTCTATGTTGACATCACAATGTCTACAAAACTGATGTCACGTGTGCTGGATACAAGGCTCATCCAGTGTCAGGAGTTGGGCCCTCTTCATCTCCACTCTGTCTTCCATTGTGTTGGTTTCATTTTTAGGCTGCATGTATTGAGCATTAGGAAGTCCAAGTTCACATCATCACAACACCAAGTCAAGCAGAAGACAAGGCTTGCTATTTAGAAAGGTCAAAGAAAAGTCTTCAGATTGAGTTCACATTGGTCCTAAATAGCCTCATGTTGGTCATATGACCATTCAGAGCCATGTACTGATGACAGCGAGAAGGACTACTCCAATTGGCCAAAAGGCAGCTGAAGACAGCTTTGTAGGACCAAGAGTTGGAGAGGATTGATTATCTAGACGAAAAATAAGGATACTGTTATCATAAGGGCAGGTGGGTCACAGGAGACCAAATAGTAAATATTTACTGTAGAAGGAATATGGCCAAGAGTGTTAAAAAACTCTTCAGGCAGAAATGAATCCTAATGAATGATAAATAGGAATTGGCAATACAGAATTTTGCATGCAGGGAACATCTTAAGCAAAAGGAACATAAGTGAAAATAGACTTTATCAAAAAACTAAAAGAAAACATCAGTATGAGAGCAGAAAATCGGGGTAGAATGGTGAGAAATGTTGGCAGGGGATATTACCTAAAAGGCCTGCTAAGCTTTGTTCAGCAGGTGGAACTTTATACTAAGAACAAAGAAAACATTAAAGGATGTAAAAAGCAAATGACATAATTAAATCTTCACTTTAGAGCAGTCCCTTTGATTTCTTTATGTAGACTGGATTGGTAAATTCTTATCAAGTACACAGTGAATTAGCACTCAATTTGGAAGTGCAGATCAGATGTGTGAATATGATTGGAAATATTTAGAAATGAATATTATAACATAAAAGGGAAGTTTTGTTGGAACACAAGTACTATTTCCATAGGACATAAAAACATTGTTTTACTTTCTAGGGCTTTGAAGGAAGTATTTAAAAATCTGTTTATGAGAGGTTTTAGTCATTACGATCGTCAACTTAGAAATGATATATTAGTGATCACTACAATTATAGCTCAAAACCCTGGAGCACCAATGATTGTAAGTACAGATTGTTAGTTTAAATGTGGAAATGATGGGTGCGGGAGGGAGTCTTAAAACTACGTTGTAATATTTGTGTATTTTGTTGTAATGTCAAGTTATGTTGTACTGGTCACCAATATACTTGTCACTGTGCTAATTCTCCTTTGCATCCCTATGGAAATTTGGGATATTCCTCATAGTTTATAATTTACACATATATTTGCCATTTTGATGCTTTTCTTCATAAGATCTAATTTTCTATGTACTATCAAGTATCATTTCACTTTCACCTGAAAAACTTCCTTTAGTATTTCTTATGGTACCAATCTGTTAGCTACTGGCAACACATGCTCTTACTTTATTGTACCCGAAAATGTCTTTATTTCACCTAAATTCTCACTATTCACTAGAATTAGAATTCTATGTAAAAAGTTTCTTTTCCAACACTTAGAAGATAATTGTTCTACTAAAATATTGTTCCATGTCTTCCATTCTACATTATTTCTGACAATAAACATTTGTAATTTGAATTGTTTTCTCTTGTATCATTTTTTCTCTGGCTTCTTCCAAGATTTCACTTTTTACCAGTGAGAAGTTTTACTGTCTGTGTTCAGTATATTTACAGAAAAATCACAAGGTGTTATTTGCTTTTTACTTACCTTACTTAGGATTCTCCTATCTTCTTGAAACTGTCAAAGTGTCTGTCTTTCATCAAATTTGCAGGGGAAATGTACATTCTTTCTTCAAGAATATTTTTCAGCCTCAGTCTCTCATGTCCCTCCTTATGACACCCCAGTTACATGTATGCTTGACATTTTGATAGTGTCTCAGAAGTCTGTATATCTCTGTTTACTTTTTTCTAAGCATTTTCCTCTATTTTCTGATTAGATCATTTGTGTTGATCTCTGTCTCTAAATGCACTTTTTTTTTTTTTTGCCTGCAACCTACATTCTGCTGTTAATCCCATTCACTAATTTTTTTTATTTCACATATTTCTCAGTTCTGTCATGTCCATTTAGTTCTTTCTAATAGTTTCTTTCTTTCCTATATTTCATTCTATGAATATCTCTACTCTGGATTTCCTTCTCTGAAGTACTAGCAACTCTCCTTGAATATCTGCTTGCTTTTGGTCTCTCTCCAGTACTTTCAGATCATTTTCTTATATTTTGTTCAAGGTCTAGCACTGTGATCTTTTAACCACTGCATAACCATAATGTAAAAATCACTGAATGATGGAAATTCTCATGTTAGAGGCCTTTGCCAACAGTATTCACACATCAGTCACATACTTTCTAAGTTGTACTTCAAGGAACTTTGGTTGTGAAGGACTTAACCTCATCAGTAGACATCAGGTGCTCCAAACATAAGAGAATATCCATGGCCTTATATTGTGCAAATAGGGAAATAATCCTTCAGTAGAATCCTAGTCAAGACTGCAGTGTGTTGTTGTTGTCAGGTGCCATAGAGTCGGTACCGAGTCATACTGACCCTATGCACAACAGAACGAAACACTTCACCAGGGTGGACCTATATGTTTTTCTGGAAGCCCCTAGTCATCAGTAAGTTCTTATTGCCATCCTTGCAAATACTCAGGTATGAATTCCATGGATGTGAGTAAAAAAAGTGACAGCCTCAATTTTAAAGGTATCATATGGATTCAAAATTAGTATAATTCTAAGGCTTCAAGCACACAGACCCAGGATTTGTCCTTGCAAACTCGTCCTAGTATATAAAGTCCAACTTGGATATCTCTATCAGGCATGAGCTCCACCACGATGAAATGCTTGCAATTCATCTCTTGACCAAATATTCAGCCTAATGAGAGTGGTTGGGTAGGAATGGTGTATTTAAGAATAAAAGTGTGAAATTGACTCCTGCATTTTCCCCCTTATTGTGTCACATGAAGTTATAGCAAATGAATTAGTTATGTAACTACTTATGCTTAATTTTGGTTTCTTAAAAATTTTTATATTTGTGTATTTTGTAAAACAGTTGTAGAATTACATAAATATTTTCTTGAAGTCTACAAGATTAAATATATTATAAATTTATCTGGCAATATGCTTTTATTTTTTTCCTTCTCTTATTACTAGTGATTTATGTATTTAAAATGAAAGTAGATAAGGATCTTTAAATATTAGGCAAATATAGGAGTTCAGATCTTAATTTTTATTTAATTAATCACTCTGCTTATTTTATGTATTTATATTAGGAAAGTGGTTTTACCCAAGATTTAATACTTTTTGCAACCTTTAATGAAGGTAAGAGCTACAAAAACTTAAACTTTTTGTAATTATTTTAATGAATCTTGAGCAGCATTTTAACTTTCATTTTATTCTTTATGTTCTCCCCCACAGTTAAAAGTCAAAATCCTTTGGTGAAAAGTCTTAAGCTTTCTAATTCCTATGAGGATTTTGAGTTGAAGAAATTGCTATTCAACATAATTGTGATCTTAAGTAAAGATTTAGCTACTACACAGGTAAACGAGCAATCAAAACAGAAAGCTACGTGAAAATCACTTCATTTTATGGAAATGTAACATTTTTATGTTAAGAACTGCAGTTCTATCATATACGCAAATCTTGCCATAGAAAGTATTTTCTTTTTATTTTTACTTCCTCATTTTTCTAATTTTTTCTGTTACCCAGTAGTTTGTAAGCAGAGTGTTATTCAGTTTCCATGCATTTGATTTTCCCCCTTGATCTTTCTGTTGTTGATTTCTCACTTTATAATGTTGTGATCTAAGAAGATGTTTGGTAGTATTTAGTTTTTTAATTTTTTGAGGCTTGTTTTGTGGCCTAACGTTTGGTATATTCTGGAGAATGTTCTATGTGCCCTGGAAAAGAATGCATTTTGTATTGTTGGGTTGAGTACTCTGTGTAAGTCTATGAGGTCATCTTGGTTGATTGTGTTGTTTAGTTCTTTTCTTGGTTGAGTTTCTTTGTAGTTGTTCTATCCTCCATTAAAAGGGGGGACATGTATTAAAGTCTACTGTTATTTTATAGATGTCGCTGTCTTCAATTTTGTTAAAGTTTGATTTATGTATTTTGAGGCTATTTCATTGGTAGCAGAGGTATTTATTATGGTCATGTCCTCTTGTTCAATTGACCCTTTCCTCATCTCTTATGCTGGTTTTTGCCTTAGTCTTTTTATCAGGAATGAATATTGCCACCCTTCTTTTCATTACCATTAAATTGATTTTTTTTTTCCATCCATTGATTTTGTTTGTTGATCTTTGTCTTTGTGTGTAAGTTTTGTCTTTTGTAGACAGCATAGTGAAAGAACCTGTTTTCTGATCCATTCTGCTGCTTTCTGTCTTTTGACTGGTATATTTAACCCATTTACATTCAGTGTAAATTATTAATAGATATACTTTCTTTTTGCTGTGGGGTGTTTTTTTTTAATGCTTCTCCTGAGTTTTTATGTGTTTCACATAATTTCCAAAATGAGTTCATTTTGTTTGTAGCTTTCTTTGTCATTTTCTTCAGTGCTGTTGTTTTGATGTTTAGTAAATCTTTATGATTTTCTTCTCTTTTACTTTGATGAGGTTTCATTTACTTTAATCCATTCAAGATACTTAAATATAATTCTTTTGGATTCTTTATCAGGTAGTTCCAATTCTCTTTCTTTCTCAGATATATTTTCTGGCTCTGCATTTTGGTCACTTGTTTGAGCCACTCTGCCTTGTTTCTTCATATGAACTAAAATTGTCTATTGTTTCTGAGCCATTGTGGTATCATTGTGTGTATATTTAATTTATGATTGTATGTTTGTGTGGTCTTAGGCACTCACTTCTTGCTTCCTTGTGAGTGTGATTAGAGAATGGAAGTGTGTGCATAGTTCTGTACTTGTGGTTCATGCAATGTAGTTCTGGGTGGGTTTGACTGTTGTTGGTTGCTCTCTGTCATTGATCAGGTATTATAGGAACTGATAGTGAAGCTTGCCCAGTGGATGGGGCTGCAGGGGATATGGCTGTGACTGGACTATATAGACACGGTTGTTGTTTCCTGTCAGGTGAGGCAAAAAGAAGAAAAAAAGCAAAACAGAAAAGAAACAAACAACAGCAAAAAAAAGAAATGATAAAGGAGGAAAAAACAAACAGGCAGCAGCAGAAAAAAAAAAGATTATAAAACTAAAAAGAGAAAAAAGGAAAGAATAATAAAATGGGAAGAAAAAAAATAACAAAGAAAGAAAATACAATAAACAAAAAATGGGTACAAATATGGATCTCTTCAAATTGGTTGACTAGGTAACTGTCTTTCAAATTTCTTCGCATAAATGAGCAAGTACCTCCAGCACTGCATCAGTTTACTGAAACATTTCAACATGATTTCTGCCCATTCCTGGAAACTGGTTTCTCACCAGTGCCTTCAGTGCATCTTGGATTTCATCCTTCAGTACCATTGGTTCTTGATCGTATGCTACCTCTTGAAATGGTTGAACATTGGCCATTTCTTTTGAGGACAGTGAATCTGTCTGTGCATTCCTTCCACTTCTTTTGATGCTTTCTGCTCAAAGAATTGTTTTTGCCTAATATTTTGTCCATAGAATCTTTCAATATTGCAACCTAAAGCATGGTGGGTTTTTTTCCTTCAGTTCTTTTAGCTTGAGAAATGCTGAATGTGTTATTCCCTTTTAGTTTTGTAATCTCAGATATTTCCACATTTCATTATAATACTTGACTTTGTCTTCTCAAGCTACCCTTTGAAATTTTGTGTTCAAGTCTTTTACTTCCTCATTTCTTCCATTTGCTTTAGCTGCTCTATGCTCAAGAGCACATTTCAGAGTCTCTTCTAATATTCATTTTTGTCTTTTCTTCCTTTCCTGTCTTCTTAATCATCTTTTGTTTTCTTCCTGTATGATGTTCTTGATGTCATCCTACAAATCTTCTGGTCTTCAGTCATTAGTCTAATGCATCAAATATGTTCTTGAGATGGTCTCTAAATTCAGGTGCAATGTATTCAAGGATACCTTATACAGGGTTGCTGTGAGTCAGAACGGACTCAGTGGCACTTAACAACAACATATGCAAGGTCATATTTTGACTTTCATGAACTTGTTTTAATTTTCTTCAGCTTCAGCCAGAACTTGCATGTGAGCCATTGATGGTTTGTTCCACAGTCTGCCCTGGCCTAGTTTTGGCTAATGATAGTGAGCTTCTCCTTCATCTTCTCCTACAGATGTAGTTAATTTGATTCCTGTGTATTACATCTGTTGAGGGTAATTGCATTTTGTTTTATTTTATTTTATATAGGTTGGTGTTAAGTGCCATTGAGTCGGTACTGATTCATAGCCCTGTATAAGGTTCTGTACAACAGAACGAAACACAACCTCACAACCATTGCTATGTTGGAGCCCATTGCTGCTGCCACTGTGCCAATGCCAATCCATCTCGTTGGGGGTTCTTCCTCTTTTTCTCCGACCCTCTACTTTGCCAAACATGATGTCCTTCTCCAGGAACTACACCCTCTTGATGATATGTCTGAAGTATGAGAGACAAAGTCTGGCCCTCCTGACTTTCAGGGAGCAGTCTGGCTGTACTTCTTCCAACATAAATTGGTTTTCTCTTTTCTCAGTCATTGGTACTTTTAATATTCTCCTCCAACAACATAACACAAATGCATCAGGTCTTCTATAGTCTTCTTTATTTACT